CGGCACGGTATCGGGGGGCCCCCACCCCTCCCAGCCCCATCCTTGGCCCCACGTCTGGGGGGGGGGCCCGCAAGGGCCGCAAGAAGATCTCCAAGGCTGACATCGGTGCCCCCTGTGGTTTCAAGTGAGGCATGGGGGTGGAGGGGCCTGATTCAGCCCAGTTCTGGGGGATGGTGGGGCATGATCCTGGGGAGACTGAGGAGTTATCTTGGGACTCCCTAATCCAGATGGGGGAGGGGACTGGGATGAGCGGAGCCTGAGGAGGCCAGGAGGGCCTGATCTTGAGGGGTGGGATAAGGGAGGGCCTGATCCTTTGGGAATGGGTGGTTGGGATATGGGGGGCCTGATCCTGGGGGGATGGAGGGACCCAATCTTGGCGTGGTAGGGTAATGGGGGCCTAATCCTGGCAGGATGGTCTAAGGGGGAGCCTGATCCTGCTCCTCTATATAAGAGTCTGATTTCTCCACACACTGCCCAGGCACGTCAGCCACGTCGGATGGGACCCCAACACTGGCTTTGATGTATGTAATGGGGGAGGGGACAAACACTTGGGTCCTGTGTGGTGTGTGTGCACGTGGATTCTGGATGTATGGGTTTCCCGTGTGTGTGTGTATGTATGTGTTCATGTGTGTCATGGACTCCTGGGTTTTCCATGTATGTCCTGGATGTCTGGGTTCCCTCTGCACGTGTGTGCATATCCCTTGGACACCTGAGTCCATGTCCCTTGGGTTCCTGAGTCCCATGTGCACATGTGGGCATGTCCCACGGACTCCTGTGTCCCCTCTGTACATGCATGTGCATGTCCTTCAGATGTTTGGGTCCCTTCTTTGTGTGTGTGTGTGTGTGTGTGTGTGTGTGTGTGTGTGTGTGTGTGTGTCCTGAACACCTGGGTTTCCCATGTACCAGCTCCCCTCATGCTCTTTGTGCCTCCTCACTGGGAGCATAATGGGCCATGTGCCTGTCACCTGCAGATGAACCAGCTGGACCCTGACCTGCGGACACTGTTCTCTCAGGCTGGCATCAGTGAGGACCAACTGGCTGACGCTGAGACTTCCCGCCTCATTTATGACTTCATCGAGGGCCAGGGAGGCCTGGCTGCTGTCAAGGAAGAGATGCGGCGTCAGGGTAAGCACCCCAGAACCAGCCACATCCTGGCCTGTTCCATTTGCCCATTTCCCAGCCACTCCACCCTAGAGCTGGGCACATTGTGGCCTGTTATACTTGGCTATTAACCCCAGAGTTGGCTGCATCCTAGACTGTTATAGCCACCCATTCCCCCCCAGAGCTGGCTGTATCCTGTCCTATTATACCCAGCCATTCCGCCCCAGAGCTGGCTGCATCCTGGCTTCTCATACTCAGCTATTTTCCAAGCCACCTCACCCCAGAAAGCTGCATCCTGGCCTGTTATACTCAGCTGTTTCCCAGCTGTTCTACCCCAGAGGTGGCCACATCTTGGCCTTCTATATTCATCCATATACCAGGTTTTCCTTCTCCAAGAACTGACTGCATCTTGGCCCATTCAACTTGGCTGTTTCCCAGTCATTCTGTCCCAGAGCTGGGCATATCTTGAGAGCCATTTCCCAGCTGTTCCACCCCAGAGTTGACTGCATCTTGGCCTGTTATTCTTACCTGTTCCCCAGCTGTTTCTTGCACAGATCTGGGCACATCCCGGACTGTTATACTCAGCCATTTCCAAGCCTTTTCACCCCAGGACTGGCTGAATCTTGGCCTGTTATGCTCAGCTGTTCTGCAGCTGTTGTACACCAGAGCAGGTTACACTTGGCTGTTCCCTAGTCTTTCCACCCCAGAGCTGGTCTCATCCAGGCTCCTGGGTTCTTCAGGATTCATTGGCAAGGGTGGGGGGGAACTTGATTAAGGAGGCCTAATTGCCATTCTTCTCTCTCCACAGGTCCCTCCCAGCCCTCAGCCCCACCCAGCCGCTCAGGCCCCCTACCACCCCCAGCTCCCCCTTCTGGC